ACCCCAAAACCCCAAAACCCCATGAGACAGAAATAGCGAGATTGGGGGAAATTACAAAATAAATAAATCAAGAAAGATACAAGTAGAGCTAATTATAATTCACGCTTAAAATAACACTACTATTAGTAATAGGCTATATCAGGTAATCTGTAAATATATAATTGTAATTTTAAAGTACACACATACTTACAGCAAAATAACATCAGCCATGTCAACAATAACCCAGCATTAGATCAACGAGAAGATCTTCGACAACAGAAGAGGAGGAGTCTATGACGATTCCACAACAGACAACCAATTCATTCAGAGTCTGTTCAACCAGCCATATATGCTGACTAACCCAGAGATGTTCAGATTCCGTGAAAAAATTATCCTTCCATAACTACAAGGGATAAATTATGTAGGTCTCATCATAGGTCCAAAGGGCACCTATTAAAAGAAACTAGAAGAGCTCACTGGCTGCAAGATTCTCATCAGAGGCAAGAACTCACACAAGGAAGGCTACCCTCCACAGCCAGATGATCATGAGGAGCAGCACATTCTCATACTAAGTGATACTGAGGAGAAGATAATAAGAGCTAAGGATGAAGTGCAGAAGATACTAAGGTCTGATGAGCAAACTAGGCATCAGATAAGAATGCAACAGCTTAGTGATGCCTAAGAACTGAGTAAAAAGGTGTATTCAGTTCCAATTGAAGATCACTTGCTAACTCCTTATGGACCTCCAAGTCCTCACGTAAGATACTTAATTCTAATTATACTCTTTATAGGCTTACATCAAGCCAGTGCCAAATGAATGTGTTGGCTTGATCATCGGCAAGGGAGGTGATACTATCAGACTGATTCAACTTAAAAGTGGAGCCAGAGTGTAGGTGGCTAAGAAATAGATTCCAAACTCAACATTAAGAAACGTATTCATTGAGGGGTCTTTGGAGAAGTATGAAAAGGCCAATAAGTTGATAGAAGAGATTGTTGAGGAGCATAGAAAGATGCATTTGAGTTACTAAACTCTGATTGCAGGAGTGCATCCCGTTACTCCTCCCACTGGCTCGAGTAGTGATTAATATCCCAAATAATTAGTTGATCAATGTAAGTTTAGAATATTAAGTCCTAAATAATGACTCTTATAATTTGTCATTGTAGAAAATACAGGCAGAAATAATTAGATCAATTAAGGCCAAATGAACAACCAGATGTCTCAAATGCAGCAGTAGAATCCCCTGATTCAGATGCAACCAGTATTCTAGCCTCAACAGAACTCGCATATGTCCATTGAGTAATAAAGAAAAGCGTTTCTACATCACTAAGAGCAATGCATGCAGATGCAAAAGCAACTCGAAAAGAATCCCTTTCCAGGACCTCACACATATGTGTCAATTCCAAATGCTATGACTGCTTACATCATAGGCTTTCATGGAGAGAAAGTGAAAGCACTGCACCAGCAAACTGGAGCCTACATCTTTATCCCTAAGGATCACAACACTCTGACTGATGAAAGAGTCATTTAGCTTTCAGGAAACGAGAATTCAGTCTAGCTTTGCAAAAACCTAATCAAGAACATTATTCAGCAGATGGCTCCTCACTTGAATATCGATATGGATGAGTTTAAAGCAACCAAGCAGGTTGTCGAGGAGAACTTCAAGAAGTTCATGAGTCAGCAGCTTATCAAGAAAAGTGAAGGCAGTCAGTTTGACGAGAATGATGCCTAAGAAATGCTCAATCTAATCAAGAATGAGTAGATGCTGGCTCAGGGGCTTATGGACTAAAATTAGAATATGCTCCTTAATAATCAGTAGAATGGGGGAGGTAATAATATGCAGCAGCAACAATAGTATCTAGGCATGCCTTATCAACAGCCAATGCAACAAATGATGCAAGACTACTCTTAGTTGAACAACAATTACTACCAAATGGCACCCCAGTAATAAATGTAAACTCAATATCAGCAGCCAGCCTATAATCATCAAATATACCCTAACTACTGGCAGCAATAACACATCTAGCAGCAACACTAACTCTAACCACTTTTAATGAATCCCAACTGGATTAACCATAACTACGGAATAAAAACTGATGAGTCACAACAATAACAGTAAAATTAAATGACTTAGTAAAACCTGAATAAAATGAGCTCTCTCCATGGAAACTTAAGCGAGTCTAATTTCAAAGCCCTATATGCTGGCAGTCCCTATTAGAGTTTCTGAGCGGATCAAAAAGCGTTGTTATATGAAAGAGAAAATAAAGCGTAAAGTGCTGGAGTTGTTGATGGTGTAGCAGTTCATGCTCATTAGCAGCTCAAGCATATTTTAATGATGTTTAATTTCTTACTTTCCTTAACATAACTTCAATAATAAACACATGTTAATCAAACCTTATTTGGCTCAGCCTCGATTTATATTCTTAAGCTAGATGTGTCTTAGTGTAAAATAGTCCAACCTTAGCGCATCAATTTAAACATTCGACTATTTGCAGTCCAATAAAATAATTATTTCTTATATATTAAAACTAGGATATACTTAGAAACCCCAGCCTTTATAATAATTGCCAATGTTTTAGCAGTAGCAAAATCATTTGAATCAGCAGATTTAGCATTAATTCTCCCTTTCATCTGCCATAAATTACCAGCAAAATTTTTAGTATCAATAGTAGTAACACCAATAGCAATAATAAGTAGTAGAGTAGAATACATACTATGAGCCAATGCAGACTTACCATAACTATAATCCATCTGAGGAGGATTAGACTACTAACACATCTTCCTCAATTAAAAATAGCTCAGATAATGAGGATGAGGGCGTAGATGCTGGCGGAAGTAGAGTGGAAGAAATTATGAGAAGATACGTTGGAAATGTTGCTCAAAATAATAATTTGAACAGAGTAAATATACTAAATGAAAGCAAGGTGGTAACAAATATTAATAAAACTAATGCCAGTAATCGAAATGAAAATGAAGAAGTTAAACATTCTGATATTAGTATAAGAGTGTTTGTATATGTGAGAACATTAAACAGACAATATTCTCTAATGCTTAACAAGATTAAGCATAGAATGAATCATCAGTCTTTCTTAATGGAAATATGCTAAAGGCTAGGAATTGGCTATGATCCTAATACTATGATATTGTATCTACCTCCAAATCATCAGATAATGGATCTAGAGCCAGTTGAAAAAAATGACCTACTAATCCTTGGATTTAAAAAGGATATCAAATTGTTTACCTAGCAGTACGATGTTAATCAATTGATTTTCAAAAGTTACAGATAGGAATAAGAATAATAAGCATAGCAACAAATTGAATAAAGCCAGTAGGAAAAATAAGCCGAAAATCCATAAGCAGAAAAAGCCATCAATAATAATAATAATATTCAGACTTTAATTAATTGAGGAAATCAGAGTTTCAAATTATTTAAATTTACTCAATTTTATATACCTTCTCTCATGGGGTTTTGGGGTTTTGGGGTTTTGGGG